TCCACAGAGCTGCTCTCCAGCAGGTCAGCCCCCAACCTGTACTGGTGCAGGGGGTTATTCCTCCCCAGATGCAGCACCCTACACTTGCCCTTGTTGAATTTCATAAGGTTTCTCTCTGCCCAACTCTCCACGACACAGAACTCGGTCCTTATCCTCACGGGAATAGAGACACTCGGTGAGAAACGATTCTCTGCCCTACCCCAGGTCTGCCTCTGTCCCCGACCTGCGCTGGCTTCACGTGCTCCTCCGTCCAGCCGCTGTGTTACCTGCGCAGCCCTTACAGGCTCTTTTCCTTGCAGCTGCACTGATGAGGACATCCAGATGCGCTTGGTGACGAGGTTTGTGAACGAGGCAGCTATGTGCCTGCAGGAAGGGATCCTCAGCAACCCCGTGGAGGGAGATATTGGTGCTGTGTTCGGCTTAGGCTTCCCGCCGTGCCTGGGAGGTAAGTGGGCTCAGCTGGGGTTTTGGCTTGGCTCAGCAGCTCTGTGGTGGCCTTGCCTAGTGGGCTCTGGCCACCAGAGGCGAGTCAGCTCTGTGAGCTGCAGTCTGACAAGCCCGAGTGTCCTTCTCCCACATAAAGCCTGAGCCGGAAAGGTTCCCCCAGCGTTCCCATCCCACGAGAGGTGGTAGTGAGCCTGAGAACTGCCGTGAGATGTTTGTGCCAGCACCCAGTGGAGTTCCTCTGCTGGTACAGCTGTTCCAGAGCTGTAGCTGGTGAGGATCAAGGGACTTGAACCAGGTCATGTGCTGTGTCTTCAGGTTTGAATAAGGAGGCAGAGCTGCGCCGGCCCCAGTCTCGTCAGTACTTCCCAGGAGAACTTCAGAGGAAGAGCTTTTACCCTGCCTGATAGTCGGAGGGGTGTAGGTGGGATGGGAGATGTGCGAAGGCCCCACATTTTTAAGAAATCCCTGGCTTGCTTTTGTGCAGCCGTATGGCACTTGGTGAAAAATGAGGCTCCGGCATCTCTCTTGCCACGACTACTTGCCTGGGTGGGCAGGCGCTTCTGGAACCGTGGTCTCACGCTGCACACAGAATTGAGAAAGGACCCAGCGTTGCCCTCATGCCCGCGCAAGGCACAGATAAAGCTGAGCTGATAACCTCAGCCATGGTGCGCAGCGCTTTTCAGGCCAAAGTACTTGGCTGGGCTCAGCCAGAAGCACGGGCAAAGTTCTCCTGGACCCATCTGCAACCTGGCTGGGGCGCCGTGGCCATGGCTTGGGCTGTGGATGAGCTGCGAGCTGAGGTTTGGGTCACAGCTGGAGGATACTGAGGGCTCTGGAGCATGAGGTGGTGCTTCTCCTGAGTACCTGGCTCTTGCCCTCCTTGAGGCAAGCTCAGGCTAGAGGAGGAATCCCGGTTATCTGTGCCCCAGCTTGTCTCCTTCCTTGTGCTCAGGCAGCCCGTGCTCGCCCCGCTGTGTCCCCGGGGACTGCGGGGACCTGTGTGGCTTTGCTGCCAATTTTAAGATGAGCATTTCGGACCAAGCAGAAGCACCAGCAGAGGTGGCAGCGTGTTTCTGCTCCCCTCGGAGCTCGGGTCACGCTTGGGAAGGACGGGCAGCTGGCTCCGGCTTCTCAGCAGCTGGGCTGTGATGGGCAAGAGGCTCCGACACACACTTGGACCATCCCAAAATTGGCCACCGCAGCAATCCAGGCTACCTCTGCTCAGTGCAGGCAGGGAGCAGGGTCCCAGAGGCTGTAGGGGGTCTTCCAGAGAAGGACAGGTCCGCCAAACCCAATGCTCTCACTCTTCCAGGCACCCTGGTGCCTCTTGGCTTCCTCGGCACACAGATGTGTCCCCCTGTCCCCGGCAGGTCCCTTCAGGTACGCGGACTCGTACGGAGCCAAGCAGCTGGGGGACAAGCTGCGGAAGTACGAAGCCGTCTACGGCTGCCAGTTCACGCCGTGCCAGCTGCTGGTGGACTACGCCAACAGCCCCAACAAGAAATTCCACCAGTGAGCGTGGTCCGACACCACCCGCCCGTGACGCGCCGACAGCTCCAGCCGGGACCGCCGGCTCTCCAGCGACACCCCATTCTCTGTAGGTTAATCTGCAAAGCGCCCGGGGGAGGCAGGGAAGGAAGGAGGGTGGCAGCGGATTGCCTCCTGGCTTGTAGTCATTTCAAGTGCCTTATCAGCTACTGCGTGTTGGGCACGTCCGTCCCGTGCCAGCGGGGGCCTGGTGGCTCCTCGCTGGGAGAGAGATTTTTCTTCTGCCTTCACCTCCATGCTGCGCCCTCCGGAGCTCCCGGGCTGGCAGGCGGCATCCAGCACGCAGCCGGCCCCAAGGCCTTGCCTTTCCGTCAACCTCCGACAAAATAAATCCCCCGTCTCCTGGGTTTGGACTCCGTGCCTGCTTCTCCTTCCCGTCTTGCTGGGGCAGCACCGAGGAAGGGAACCGCTCGAGTCGGAAATAAAGCGTTCAGGCAATCCTCTGGGACCCTCTCTGTGCTTGCGGGCTGGGAGACCCGCGAAGGGGCTGCGGGCGGTTGCTGGAGGGTGGGGAAAGGCAGGGGATGGCGGCGGTGCGGAACAAAGACCGTCTCTGTCACCTCTCCCATCAATCGGGGTCTGTGCGGAGCCTCCGGCTCTTTTGTCCGGCCCCGAGCGAGCGCTGCCGCCGGGGTTATCCTGGCAGATGGACCCGCCTGTAATTGCGAATCAAGCAGCCAAAGGGCCAGAAGGGTCCCCCCGCGGGGAGAGCTCGGTTTAAACTAAAAGGCTTTAAATCTCTCTGCACCTGTCACTGATTTCAGAGCTGCGCCGCGGTGCCTCCCCGGGCGCTCCTGCCTTCTCCCTGCGCCCTGCCGGGGCTCGGGCCGGTACCCGCGTGATGCTGCTCTTCTCGTGTCGCCCCTGTGCTTGTTGCTCAAAGCTCCCGGGACAAAATTGGGCTGAGACGTCATCTCATCCTGCCTCTGCTGCCTTCAGCCCTCCCTGGGGGGGAGCAGTAGCTTCCCCCCGAACCTGCCCCTGCCCGGGGGGCTGTGCAGGAGCTGTGCTTGTGGGCTGTGAGCTAGGACCGGGGTGGTCTGGTCCCAGACCCTCCTGTTGCTGTGGCCCCATCGAGGTGGGGTTTGGGGAGCTCAAGGGGTCCTTGGGGCACCTCACCCTCAGGCAGGGGACCTCCTTCCAGGACCCTGCTGTCACCCTGGGGCGCAGCCAGCCCCGAGCAGCTCCGAGAGCAGTGCTTTCATCGAATCACAGAACCGTTTGGGTGGGAAGGGACCTTCAAAGGCCATCCAGTTCCACCCCCTGCCCTGGGCAGGGCCACCTCCCCCCAGCCCAGGTTGCTCCAAGCCCCGTCCAACCTGGCCTTGAACACCTCCAGGGATGGGGCAGCCACAGCTTCTCGGGGCAACCTGCCCCAGGGGATCACCACCCGCACAGGGAAGAATTCCTTCCTCATATCTCATCTAAAACTCCCCTCTTCCAGTGTAAAACCTTTCCCCTTATCCCACAGCTCCCCTCCCTGACCCAGAGTCCCCCCCCAGCTCTCCTGGAGCCCCTTTAGGCACTGGAAGGGGCTCTGAGCTCTCCCCTTTTTGGCCTTCTCTTCTCCAGGCTGAACCCCCCCACCTCTCCCAGCCTGTCCTCCCAGCAGAGGGGCTCCAGCCCTCCCAGCATCTTCGTGACCCTCCTTTTCCTTGCCTGGAGGACACATGTCCCTTCCCACCTCATGGGAAGGGTGTGCAAGGATGGGAGCAACCCCCACAGCCCCCATCCCCATCATCCATTTTCCCCCTCCTCCCCGAGCAAAGGGCTTCTCCAGTGGCTCATTTTTCTCCCATATGTTTATTACACTAATCCACAAGGATTAAGTTAAACCAGTCAATGCAAACTCCAGTATTTTCCAGCCCGTTTGGGCCAAAATTAACATCCAGTGTTAAAAAGGAAAGGAAGGGAGGGCTGGGCAACGGGGCCGCGCTGCCGGGGAGGAGGAAACCCCACAGCCTGTGGGGCAGAGGCACTGCCGCATCGGGGCACCCCGCAGCGGGGCAGGGGACGGGAGCGGGGGGAGCCGGAGCTGCGGTCCAGGTGGCTGTGGGGACCCGCACGGTCCAGGAGGTCCCCGGCGCGCGGTTAGATCTTGGGGCGCCAACCCTTGATGAACTGCATGATCTTCTTCACCTGGAGCTTGGTGAGGCGGAAGTCGTCGGCCAGGATCTCCTCGCTGAGCTGCACGAAGATGCTGCCGTCGATGCGCTCGCGGGCGAAGAAGCTGACCACGTCCTCGGAGAGGCCGATGAAGCGCAGGCACTTGGAGACCTCCTCCAGGGAGAGGGCCGAGAGGTCGGCGGGGGGCAGCCAGGGCGAACCGTCTCCGCTGGGA